CTGGTACATAGCAAGTCTCCATTTTTTTTATTTTTATTTTTTTGGAAGGAATATCAGAATTTCTGTCTCCAGATGAGGTTTTCAATGTTCCCGTATTATCCGAAAAGTGCTGTCTACTATACTATCTCAGATAAGCACTATTTCTTCATAAGGTCTTTATGTGGCTTAGCTCTTTGAATCCTCAGAGCACTTAGTATTATCACTGCTTCCCATCTTTGAGGTGTGAAAACTGAGACCCAGAAAAGTGAATTACTTCAACAAGGTCATATAGCTGCTAGGTGCCAGAGATAGGAGTCCACCTCTTTCTTAGCTAGAACTCATGCTCCTGCAAAATAACTTCCTGAAAAATAAGTAAACTCAAAAGAAATAAAATCCACGCAGCTTATAACTCTTGCTCCTGCAAAAGAAGTGCCCTGTTCTATCCTCTAGAAGCCGCCTTGCTTAGAATGTCCTTCTTTACAGGAACTATGTTCCGTGAAAATGAAGTTTTTATTTTATTGCCCTAACTCATTCTTGATCCTGATTAGTATTCATTCTATTGGACTCTAGATCTTGTTTATTTACTTCCAAAGTCCAAAACCATCACTGGGATGGTTCCCAAATCTGAGATCTCATACTTTGGCATTGCTGTGTGGCCTACCCCTCACCCCCACCCCTCTTTCCTCCTCCAGGTGACTAATTTAGAGATCTGTCTGAGTCCTGGAATGAAATGAGATGTATTTTTAGTCATACTTCGCATAAAAAGGGAGTTCAAAGGGAACTAACATTGGTTGATTATTCACTATGTGTCAACTGCTTTATCCACATCCTTTCATTTTATTTCACCTAACAACCTGTGGTGTAGTTTTATTACTGCACTAATTTTGCATTTGAGAAGAGGAGGCTGATAACCAGCAGAAGAGACATTCTGACCTTGGTCCTCTTAACGCAGAGCCTGTTCTCTTCCTACACTATTCCTCCTGTCTCATGAAGGCATTGGAAGGCTTTGGTGAATGTGTAAATTCCATCCCATCAGGCTGGGATGTTGGCTGGCATGCTTGATCAGAGCACTAATAGCTCTTCTTAGTTTCTTATGCTCAGGGAGCACCCCAAACTCTCAACCCCTCCTCTCCCATCCCTGGTATGTTATTGGCCATCTTGCAAGTGCACCCCCTTGGTTGTTAGTTGGTAGGCCAGAGCGAAGCCTGTACTTGGAAATAGAAGTCTGCCATTTCCCTGATGACATTGGGGCCAGTAATACCATTGCTGTCCATGAAAATAGGCCACAGCTCTTCTTATTGCATCTTTGCAAGGAGACGGTAAGCATGCTACAGGGACCACTGTCTTAGCCCAGGCAGCAGGGCCCAGAGTAAGAAACCGCATGAGGAGTGTGAGCATTCCCCGATGGGGATGATAACGACAAAGATGACGCGTGCTTTACATAAAGGCAGGCAGGCATAAGTATACATACGCGTGTGTGTTTCCTGGCTCTCAAAAAAGGATGATGTATATTTCTGAGCAGCTCCACACAAAGAAATCCAGCGTTTTAAGTTTCTGCCTACATCAGACTCTCTTTGCTTTCAGATCTCCAGGAATGGTTTTCAGGGTATTCAAGAAAATGAGAGGTGCAGATGGCCTGCCCTGGGACATGGTTGGTTTCAAATTTAAAGAGGATTATGGCCCATGAACCCCAGAAATTGTGGGTAGAGGTGTGAACCTTTGAAATTCTAATTGCAGACCAGTCTGGGGAGGTATATACTTACCGGGGCACAATATGTCATTGTTCATGTTTTCCTTTCTTGGCCCGAGGAGGAGATGGGGAGGAGGAGCCGTATAAAATAATCTCCAAGTAAAACTGAAACACCTGATGGTAGCATTTTGCGCTTTCCCGTGAATTCCGTCAAGAAAGAATCCCTGGCTGTTAACCATTGCAGTTAGCTTAGCTTCTTATAATAAACTTTATTCCTTGCATTGCCAAGCTGAGGGTACACAGACTCAGCTCCAGGTGGAAGGGCTCTGTGTGATCATTGTGGCACACCCGCCCCTTTATTTTACAAGTGATGGCATTAAGGCCCAAGGTGACAGTATCAGTTATTAGGAGAGAAAGCTCGGGAGTCCAGGGCTCTGGGAACTGAGGCAATTATTCATGGTCTTTTAATAACAGCTCCTATTTATCAAGTGTTTATATACGTCATACATTTAGGATGGAAGGAGCAACCCGGCCCAGAGGAAGTGACAGGCATTAGATGACTTGCAACACAGAGGAGAAGAGAATAAATGCAAAATCAAAGTCAAAACTGACTTCCAGCCTCGAGGAAGGCCTTCTTGGAGTGAATGCAAGTCTTAGTGTTAGGTTTTCTACTCAACTGGTCCATGGGGCAGCAGAGGGTTACTGACATCAGAGAGCTTAATTGGCCCAAGCTAGTAGGAGCCATATTTGCTCCAAGTCAGAGAGCTTTCCAGGTGCATGATGACCCGGTTGGTTTGAGGAAAAAGAGGTAAGATTCTCTTCTAAGTGGCTTATACTCCAAAAGCTCGGTCTCTGTCAACCACTGCGCACGAGCAAGTGACCTCCAGGTGCTGGACTTCAACTGGCTGCTATTGCCATCTGGCTCTCTGCCCAGAACCTCAACCTCGGTGTGTCCCAAACCAAACTTGTTAAGTGCCTACAAGGAGAAAGTGAGTGCCTGTTTATTTATTTACTTATGTTTTAGAATGCCTCTCAAGGTTCATTTCTCAACCCTCTACTCTGCCAGGGAAAAATCTTTATTCATATACGCTGCCTGATGACCTTCGTCCTATAGTTAGCTGAAACCCTTGCCTACCTGACATCTGCTGAGCACTTTGCTGGAGGCACAGGGCAGGTTCAGGACAGCTAACATGGGTAGACAAAACACCCGAAGCTCCTTTCATAATCATAATGGCTTTCCTGTGCACAAAGTCCTTTCTCACCCATCATTATGTTTGTAAAGTTTATTTCGAGAAAGACAGAGAGCGCAAGTGGGGAAGGGGCCGAGAGAGTGGGAGAGAGTCCCAAGAAGGCTCTGCACTGTCAGTACAGAGCCCGATATGGGGCTTGAACTCATGAAACTGCGAGATCATGGCCCGAGCCAAAACTAGCTTCAGATGCTTAACCGGTTCCCACCCAGGCGCCCCCTCATCTGTTATTTAACAGTCACGTGGAGTTGGTTCATCTTCGTGGAAGGCACCTGAAGGCCTAGATCCCATAGCCAATGGTTACCTCTAGAACTCAGCCTCTCGTTGCCTTCCTGCCCAAGATGTCACCTTGTCACAGAGGTCTTCTATCAACATTCCTTATACCCTGGCACCTCCATCATTTTCTTATTTTGTATGCACTCCACTCCTATCACATATTTGTTGGTTGTCTGGTTCCCTACCAGAAGGTAAGCTCATGAGAGCAGGGACATGATCATTACTGAATCTCTAGGGCATGGAGTAGGCCATCAGTAAATATTTGCTGATGGGGGTGATGCACCTTTATATTGACACTGGGCTACTTCTCTGTGCCAGGCCCAATGCTAGACAAGGTCACTGCCTTGGGGCACGCCATTGTAGTTGTGGGTGAGGACCAGGGACTGCTTAACCATACAAGATGGCAGAAACTCAATCTTAGGGGAGGCTCAGGGCCAGCCCTCTGCCCTAAGGGGGCGCATTTGGAGATGACTTTATAAGGCTCCTCCTATTGACTCCAATGACAGGAACCGATCCTGAGAAGCTTCCCAAGGACCTAGCTTTTTCTTTTCTTTTTTTTAAAAACAATTTTATCCACAAGCAGTGGCGAGAAATTAAATGGATTCTTTGGACTAAGTAGATTGAGCTAGTTAAAATAGCCATCTGCCGGGACCAGGGAATGAGCAATCTGTTGGTACTTTCTCCGCTGAAATTCGGCATCTGCTGAGAATTGTACACCATTTGCACCTCCGGAAATGCCTTTTGCACTCCTGACCCTCTTGTGTCCTGCGGGTTAAAAAAAAAATTATAGTGCAAATGGAAGATTAGAAAATTGTACAAAAGCAAAACCCCTTTCATTTGTCTTAGCATTTTAGCAACCTAAGCAAACTGCACAGACCTCGCTTTCCAGCGGCGGCGAGCGCCCTGCACGGGGACCTCGGGCGCGAGCCCGGCGAGAGCGCGGTTTGCTAGCCGGGGCGCCGGGCGGCTCCCTGCTCCGGGCCCGGGGCCGCCGCTGCGCCCGCACCCCTTTCGCTCGGCCTGCGGCCCTCGCAGCAGGAGGCGGCTCTCGCGGCCTCGCTTCCCGCACCCACTCGGGACTAAAAAAGAACGCGCACAACTTTTTTTGGTCCCTCTTCTCGCAGAACGCTGGCGTAACGAGCTCGCTGAAGTAACCGCTCCGGGGGCGGCGCCGGGAAGCGGGCTTCCGGAGCCCCGCAAGCCGCGCGGCCCCCCACCCCGGGCGCCCGCAGCGGAACGCAGCCCGGGAGGCAGCGCGCCGGTGGAGGCGGGGGCGGGGCGCGGGCGGCCGGGGGCGGGGCGCGGGCGGCCGGGGGCGGGGCGCGGGCGGCCGTGGGCGGGGCGGGGGGCGGTGGCGCGTGCGCAGAGCACTTCCTTGTTTGTCCCCGTGACTGTAGCGGGAGCGCCGCCTGCCCGCCGCCAGCCGGCCCGCCCGCCCGCGGGAGTGTGCGCTCAGTCAGTCGGTGTCCTCGCCGCCGCCTGTCACAGCGTCTCGGGAGGCAGCCCCCGCCGGCCCGAGCCCCCTCGCAGCGCCGCGCCCCCTCCCCCGCCGCCGGCATGCGCACAGGGAGGCGGGTCCCAGGAAGCCCTCAGCCTCGCGCGCGGCTCGGAGTTTGAAGGGCCCCGCGCCGAGCGCCGCTGCCGCCCGCTCTTTCTCCCGCCGCCGCCGGGGACGGGAGCCGCGCCAGGCCGGGCGCCGGGTGGCGGGCTGCGCGGGGCGTTCATGAGCCGCCGGGCGGCCCGCGGCCCCGGGAGCCTGCGCCGTGACTCACTCCCCGCCCCCGCTTGTGTCTCGCCCCCCCCGGCAGGATGCCGGACCAGATCTCCGTCTCCGAGTTCATCGCCGAGACCACCGAGGACTACAACTCGCCCACCACGTCCAGCTTCACCACGCGGCTGCACAACTGCAGGAACACCGTCACGCTGCTGGAGGAGGTAGGTCGGCGCCGGCGCGCCCCACCGGGGACCCCGGCGCGGCCGCGGGGAAGCCTCGCTGCCCCGGCTCGCGGTTGGGTTGTTTGGATTTCTGAGCGGGGAGGGAGGGGATGTTGGGGGCTGGGGCGGCCACACCCCCTCCGGAACCGCTGCCCCTACTCCAGGTGAAGAGAGGACTTAAGATGTGCCGCCCCCTGCCCGCATTTTCCGGGTCGCCCACCCCTCGGGGCTCCAGGGGGCTGGAGGTGGGGAGAGGACTGAGCGAGCTCCTGGCACCCCTAGGAAAAAGAAGAAGAAAGTCCTCTCCCTATCTTGGACCCCCCAGGGGAGCCCTACAGTGTGCGAGGCGCTTTCCGCATCCTTCTGACCCTGTCGTAACCCGCGCAGTGGGTGGTGGCAGCCAAGAGGGCAGAGGGAGGCGAAGCAACGTGGCCAAGGTCACCAGCGAGGGACCGGGAGACGGTCAGCGAGCGCCCCTCTCCAGGGCCCGGCCCCGCCGGGCAGGCTTAGCCGCGTAGGCAAGGGCCGGTGGAAAAACCCCAGAGGAATGAGAGGGAACTCAGGCTGAGATTGCCTCCACCCCGGGGTTCCTCCCCATTCAGTCTCCTAAACCCTGGGTGCGAAGGGAGATCTGTGCGGACCGGTCCCCACCCGGCTCCGTTCACCCGAGGGTTTGGTTTTGCCAAGGCTGCTGCGCCAGCAGGACTTGCCCGCAGGGCACTGGAGGCTGTGAAGAGAGACCTGAGGCTGCCAGGGAGAGCTGGCCAGAACGGGGGGCCCGAGACTGCCGGAGAAGAGCTCCCCTTATCTGGACCCTCCAGGGAGGCATTGTGGGTGTCCTGGGCAGGGCCAAGGGCAGAGCCATTTCCTTTAAAATTGAAGTGAATGAGTGACAGGGCAGAGTGGGTAAGGGAAGGAGGCACCCGCAAGCGCGAGAGCTGCAGAAGCCTCTGAACCTCAGTAAAATAGGACATTCCTCCTGCACCATCTGCGAGTGCCATAAAGCACCACTCCCGTCCAAACCAGCCAAGCCCCTTTCAACAGGAAGAGACGGTATTGAGGGAACCTGGGAAGGCAGATCATTTTCCTGGGGTGGATTATCTTGTGGCTGGTGTCTTTGAGGTTTGGGGAACTCTTTTTGATAGCAGCTTACCGCAGCCAGCCCTTCTGTCATATTTAGAAGCTTGGCCTTCTATGGGCAAACTGCTCTTGGTACAGGCTTTGCTACTTCCAGAAGGTTTGCTGCTTTGAGAAGGCCAGGTTCCCTACAGAACTGGCACTCTGAGGCCCAGGGTCCTAAATTTTAGAAGGAAAGAGATTTCTTTGCTCGGTGCCGGGTGCCATCGTGCCTGCCTGGTGCAGAGAATTAGTCTGAACGTTTTATGCCAGTCAAGGATGCTTCTAGAGTTCTCTGTGAAGTTAATGTTGGGTCATTGAGCCGAAATTTGAAATTCATTTGGAGAAAATACAACCTATGTAAGTTTGTTTGAAAGCCAGACAGTGGTAAATGGATTTTACCTTCTTTTTTTTTTTTTGGTCATTATTATTATTATGTATTATTATTATTATTTTTTTGGTCTTTGTGACTTGCCAGCAGCCTGATGTTTAGTGTCTGGAAAGAAACAGAGTCGCAGGGCATTCAGCCCCATGATGGGTCTGTCCTTCATGTAATTGTGATAAATTGCAACATGCTAATATGGGAGTATTCTGCATCCTTTTTTCTGTACTAATTGTACATGCCTTCTGAAGGATGGGACATCGATTAGACTGAGTGGTTATTTTCCTTCAAGATAAAATTTTCAGTGCCTCCTAATAGAGCTGTCAGTTATTTTAACTTTCCTTTTCTGCACATTCAGATAGTGTTACTCTATTCTGTTTGCGATAAGGGAAGTAGCTGATAATGCTCTTTGTGGGGGTTATACCCACGTATTTTGCAGCAATAGGAAAGGACAGGATTAATGTTAATTACATGCAGCTGCTCTTGATGTTAGTTTGAGGTAACTAAATTTAAAAGTGAATGCAACAAAGAACATTTTTTTTTTTAAATGAATACTGTTCTGCAAGGTTAGGTAGAAAAATAGATCCAATCTTAATACAAATATGGTCACCGTGAATTTGAGAAGGAATCAGAATCAGGCCAGAAGTTTAAAAGTGTCATGTGAGAGTACGATGGTAATACCCACACTCTCCCCACACTCGCAAAAATAGGACCGTAAATGTTTCAGTCAGAATGACACAGTAATTTTGTAATTCTTTTTCTGAACTGCAGTATGGTACTGGTCAAGGAATCATTGCTCCGGTCTGCATCTTTTTTAACTCTTGAATCATACACCTTGAAGTTGGACTCAAGAGGAATTGCCTTTTGCATAAATGTGGAATATACCTGTTGTTAGTTTCTTCTTGATAATCAGCACAGTTGAATTTTTCCTTTTTTCCCCTAAGTTTGGATATATGGAAGGGGCACATTATTATAAATATCTTAAAAGGATCAGAATTCAATTCTTAAAAAAATACGGGGCATAAGGTTATTCTCAAAATATAAGAAGTTGTTTTGGGACAAACCACAAAATCTTGTCGTCGTAGGCTTCACAAGTGAGAAACTTGGAAACTTTAAGAATGCTGTTTGTGTTACTTCGTGGTTATTCTTAGGAATAGGACTTTTGGGTACTTTTTTGGTGATGTGGAAACTTAGGAATAAGAATTCATTTGGGCAGTTTGGAATTCTTTTGAAAAACTCTCGTTCTAGTCATTGAATGCCTTCCTGTTTATTTACAAACTGTTTTTTTTTTTTGCTCCTTGGGTTCCTAATCAGCCTACAGAAGTCTCAACTAAAAAGCCATAGCTCCCTAAACTTGAAACCCTAAATTAACCCACACTCCCCCCCCTTTGGGCGTGTCCCATTGGCAAAGCCTGTGCTGTGCTTTGAAGATATCCGTGCTTTTATTTAAATCTCTCTGTGATGAGCACTCTAGGAAATGGGTCAGAAATGTGCAGAAAGAGGCAAAGACTTTGCTTCTGGCCTCACCGTTGGGGGCGGAGGGTCCCACATGACCCTGGGAGTTATGGTGAGGGTGAGGTTGGCACACAGCGAGTGTCTGCCTGTGGGAGGCAGGGGTGATTAGCTGCCCGGGTTTCATCCTGATGTCTGAGTGTTTTCCAGGCAAAAAGGCAGCGTTGTGCTTATTCAGCAAAGCACACTGATGTGTGCCATTTTACTCGTGACCATTTGGAAATTATGAGTAAATTACTAGGAGAAGACAGTTTTGCTGAGAAAGGAAGGGAAGCTGGCATTCCAGGACCACTGTGCATTCTCCATTTAAAGGCTTAGACCGGTCAATACTTAGTGCTTGTTGAAAGGGAGAGTCGACATGATAAATGAAGGTCCTCCTGTTTATTTAATATTGGGGCAGCACTTTATCTTTTGTGATAATGGGGGAGCATGTTCTGCCCATTTATTGAACATTTGAGCCTTATTTGAGCTTTATGGAGGAGGGCCACTTGTGTCCATTTTACAGAGAAGAAAATTGAGGCCCAGGGAGATGAAGTGATTTGTTCCCAAGCTCAAATGGCTAGTAAGTAAATGAACTTAACAGATGTTCTAAAAGTCTCCAAAGCCTACATATCAGTGGCTTTGTAGAGAATGCAAGAGGCTTCACTTTCGTTGTACCTTCTGATTTTGATCTTCTGAAACCGAGGTGCCTAAGTTCCTAAGTGGCTTAGGATTTTTGTCCTGTACACATTCCAGGGAGTTCTTAATAGTAATACTTAAATACATCACTTTTTTTTTTTTCCTTGTGCCTTTAAAGACTTGGGTATGGTTTTTCAGATTCAGATGTGGAAACTTATTTGGGCGTAATCTGGGAACAGCATTCACTCAAAGCATTTCTGGGGAGCACAAATCATTTTGCTCAGTCTAGCTGAGATATTGGAGTTGTCTGGATTGTGTGATGGAGAAGGTCTTTGAGAAGGAGGTAAATAAGGCTGTCATTCTTAATTGAGTTGGAGGGGGCAGTTCACAGGAGAGGGAAATGATACAGGACATTGACCCCAGCAGTGCAAGCTGAATCGCTCAAATTACCATCTAGTCAGTACACAAATTGTGCAGTGCCCAGCAGTGTGTTAGGCCCTAGGGATACTGAGGTGATCACCCTGCCCTCATGAGGTGTATAGTCTAAAAGTTTTCTTAAGGGAGCCGACGAATGTGGGTCTTGCATTAGGGGTTAGCTTGCCTTAACACACGTGATGTGTGTACTCCTTTCTGAAGCCACAGAAATGTTTGACTGAAGAAATGAATGAAGGTGTGGAATGTAGATATGTTATCCAGACCTCTTTCTTAGTAACTATAGTTACCAGTTATTAGCATTCCTACTATGTGGGAGCCCCATGCATGCTGTTACTTAATGCTTACATGTGCCCCCTGTTAGCACTGACACTGACCCCATCTTCTGACAGTGACTCTTTTGCCCAAGGGCACACACACGTAGTGGGTTTGGGCACGAATCCTGTTTAGGTAGCACCCTCTCGCGTGCTAGTCAGACACCATCTGTATGTGTTTCTTTGCTCTCCGAGTAAGTTTGATTTTTATCCATGTTCATTTGGGCATCATCTGTTATGCGGATGACGAGAGGTCATTAATCTTTGATAAATGCTTTTAGGTCCTCCAGTGTTATCTGTGGGATCTCACACATAGGGCCTTTGTGGCCAGGGCTTGAAGTCTCATCTTGCTCATCAGCTCCAAGTGTGCTAGAATGCAGTTGCATTATTTCTCTTAAATTTTGAAAGCTGATAAACTTAGCAGCAAGTGTTAGTTTATGCAGCAGCTGCTAAAGTTGGTTGTGGTCTTAAAGAAAGGTACATCTCAGGCAGGGTTTAGATAAAATCAGAGGTGGTCTTGTGCATCAGTTGAGGTTTAATCAGTATATACGCGTGTGTGTGTGCGTGTGTGTGTTTGTGTGTGTACATGCATATGTGTGTATATACATGTGTGTGTATATGTTTAC